CACATGTCTGACTTCCATCCAATCATAACCCGGAATTTGTTCACAAACCATTCTAGTTGTCGGTTAACCATACACTCTGTAATTTCATTACTACGTTCCTGGTACTGGTCGTACCGCTAGTATTTTTCTTGACTCTGGTGATGGTGCCATTTATGCTGTACCAATCCATGAATGCCAAACTTTCCCGATACTATGTTCCGTCTCGATCTGATTGGCCGTGATTTGACTGAATACCTTAATAACGATTCTTATGGAACGTAAAGAAAAAAATTCTGTTATGTTGCTTTAGATTTGAACAAGAAATGCAAACTGCTGCTCAATCATCTGCTTTAGAGGAATTCCGACGGTTAAGTTATTACTATTGGTAATGGTCAGTATGCGATTTTAATTATTGTAATATTCTGGTCTTTATTTATTTGAATATGTGAACTTGGTGTTGAGAAAAGAAACTAAATTGACAATTTTTAAAGAAACATTTTTTTGTGTTTAACTAATTTAAAATTAGTTTGGAAACATTTTCACCTAAGAAACAAATGCTGTTATCTTAATAAAAATTTGCAGTATAAATTATAAAAAATTAAAACTTTAAAGAATTATTATAAACATTTATAATATAAAAATCAATTCTCGCAAAATTTTTTCCCCTTTTCTCAGCACCAAGCCCATATGCTTATATATCTATATATATATTTTTTTTAAAAAAATTCACAATTAAAATTCATATTAAAATTGTTATGCCCGGAAACTACATAGAAAAAAATTTACATACTGCAAATTCAATTAAAAATAATAGTGGGCGTAAAATATGGTGCCGCTTGATTAGTAATAGATTTAAAGGTAGTTATTGAAATTATAACCTTGGAATACGGGTTTTAAATGTTGGTTTCTGGTTAAAATTAGATCTCGTTGAAGTTGGCGTAGATGTTGAATTACTCAATCTATGAATAATAGTGTAATTAAAATATATTACGAGTAATAAATTAGTAATTAGAATAATACATACCCGAATTCTCATAATATTGTTCTAGCCTATTATTAAGTGTAAATATTCCTGCTGCCGTCATTGAGTTTGAATCTAAAAAAAAAAACAAAAATCAAATCAACAAATATATTATTTCATAATTAGATACGGATAGGGATGCAAAGTTGATTTTTCGCTTTGCATTACATGGATTTCAAAATTCCCGGTCAGTTGGTTGGATTTTTTTTTAAATCTACAGTAGATTAATAGACTCATGTTCACGTCTAAGGCTGCAAAAGTTGATTTTCACTTTGTACACACGGAATCAAAAATTGGATTGGAAGTCGAATCTTTTTCTATTAGTTCTGTTAGATAATTTCAGGAAAACAAGATCTCTATCGATGATAATGGAGTAATTTATGAAAAAAACTAAATGGCAAAAATAGAATAATTGACACAATTGGGGTTAAAAAACTTGAAAAATTGAAAAAAAATGGACCGGCAGGTAATGCAAACGAAAAATTAACTCGTGTGGCCTAATAAATACCATTATAAATTTCAGGATAATCTTCGTAATGCTTTCTGGATTTGTAAGAGTCCCATATGTTGCACGGCTTAATAGCTGGATATTCTTTTAAATATTGTGTAAGATATTTTAGCTTTATATTCCTTCCTGTCTATTCGTTTTAACCATATGAAAAATTTGCAAAGAAAGTCTTCGAACTCATAATTGAGCATGTCTCTATATCTGTCAACTGCTCGTAACCATTTTGCCATACATTTGTCTGTATTTTGTACTCGCGATAGTTTAAAGAGCTCTAAAAGGTCTTCGTTAGTTGGTAGTTTATTATGTGACATTGAAGTATTAAAGAAAGAGTTGGATCAAAACACAATCGCTCCTTTATCATTATACCCATCATTCGAATTATCAATGTTTATTATTACATCATGCCAGATACCAAGAAATTATCACGATAATGCTATAAATTATCAAACTTTATGACTTACAATTTTAAAATTCTATTTTCACTTGTTCTGAGGTTTGAAATTCATTTACAGTGCTTTTCAAATTACTGTGATCAGCAAATTCCACGTATCACACCGGAAATCAGGAATCTAGAAAAAAT